TTGACTGTGCTAATGACAGCTATATTTGCTTCCATTCTGATACTTACACTTTGATTGTAACTTCGCGCGAATTCGGTTACCTTCTGTAACCAAGGTTGTATCCTGGCACGATCTCGATATCCTTTCGATGCCACGAGATCGCCAGCTAATAAACCTCGACTCGGTCCATTAACTGTCTTCTGATATTTGGCTTCTCGGAGATTTTATGGATCTATTTGTTTACGTCCAACCCTCGCCTTCTGATTTATCTGGCGCGTGCTTCTTTGTAGCGGTGTTCATAGTTAACCTCAACTCGACGCCACGCTACACTACAATCAGAACTCTTCAGGGCTTTAGACTTAAATTTCAGATGCTATGTTTCTGGTCGTCGATCCCTAAAACCTATATGTCTGTTCTGATACGACTTGGGAGAACAACGGTTATGTAAGTTGTTCCGACCTACTGGATGAACCTAATCACCAAATCAAGGAACCTTCTATGGTCCGGTTAAGGTTATTTGAAGTGTGACAGAAAATAAACTTTCCGATGTATGAATATAAGCTTACGGTGCCACTAAATCTCACTTAATAATTTTTTATACCCTTTTGACTACAACTTGTTCTCTAGGTTCTATGGAGTCAGCGTGGGATCGACGCAAATGAAAGCAGTCCTGAAACTGTCTGTATAAGAGAAATGAATGCTTTGATAGCTGATGATAGCTGTGATTGAATTTCTCTCTTAAGAATCGAAGATCGATTTTAAAAAATTTGTGAAGAATTGCTTCTTGTTATGATTATTTTCAGGAGAGATACATCCATAGAAACGTAAATACATTTGATTGACAAACCAAATGGCGTTGACTGTTATCTCGCATAAATATTTCCCACCATTAAGCTGTCATTTTCAATCATCCTTATATAAGTATGTTGTTGTAATAAAATGTTTCTATCATGTTTTTCTGCAAATTATATACCTTTTCAATCATTTTGTATTGGAAACTATACATGTTCAAATCTCCCAAATATGAAGAAATTTGTAGCATTATAGGTTTCTCTTTATAGTGTAGATCACCAACGTAGATGATCTATGTCGAACGATCGGAGGCCTACTCGAGTTAGACGGGAATGGTGTGACGACCTAGCGGCCTGCTTGAGCATTTGGGCTACCTGTTCCTGCCATCCAGATATTTCAACAAGTTATCTATTTTTGTTTGTTTTAATATATCAATATGTTTATTAATCGCATGATCTATTCTGCCGCGTTTCTGAAAAGTGTACAACCTTTCGTTGTCAAAGTTACAAAAAACTCAATAAGAGCCAATGTGATTGCTGGCAATATACAGCGAAAAGAATGCACATTATTCAGATGTTCATTTACTGAACTGCTAACACCTAACTGGCGATCACTCAATATTTATCGCCAGGACCGACCAAGAAGAAAGAAACAGAAACTTGTTGAAATACTTTACGCTGAGAATTCTATATTGTACCAAAATAAATATTGAATAAAGCTGATAATAATAATTAACGTCGAAGTCACAACTCGTAGTCAGCACCTTACATTTCCTACCCCACTTACGTACCAAGGTACTATAGATGCTTTGAAGACTGTACAACACTGAGGACTTTATTACAGAAATATATTAGTTAAAGTAAATACAAGCGAAAGTAAGACCACCGCCGCATGAGCCAGTCCATGTCATACGATTAACTGATGCACGTCGGTTGTCCTTGACGTCGACGAGGATCGATGATTTGTTTGATATTCAGTGACCCAACTGCCGGATGATTTGGTTGGAGCACAGTTGAATTTCACTGACCCTACAGTACTCCACCACCAGGTTCAACGGTCTTTTGAATCGGTACCAAACACGTTAGGAGTAGTCGCGCCCTGGAAAGTGCCAAACGAGTAATATGAATCCTTTGGGTATTGCCAAGCTGTAAGACAAACGGAAAATAGGCGGCAGGAGCTGATCAGGAAAACAACGAGTAATGATATATTAGTAGGACGTTGGTTGAACTTAAAGCGATTAACCATAGAATTAATGAAAACACAACGTCCTATTGTTCTATCAACTCGCGCTGAAACATATAGCTCTGACAAGTAATTGAGTTCCTCTGATGAGAAACGTTAAGTTTGCCGCAAGGGTATTGATGCTATAGCGACAGTAGGATAAGTGTATTATCAATCGATGCCGATGTCTATACTGCCATTGATTTAAAGTTGAATGTCGGACAGTATCGTTCACAGCTTCTAGTTACATTTATATTTAACGGAGTAACCGTAAGTACAGAAGTATAACCGTGAAGAGTGGTCGTGATTTCGTTGTGCGAAGCTATTAGTCAACTTGTAGTCAGAGTTTGAAGAGTGGATGACTTCTGTTACAGTCAGTAAAGGTCGAAGGCTACAAATCGACAGCAAAGGTGGCATGATGAAGTCTCTAAAAGATGATAAAACGGTGAGTGCCGCTTGTTTGTGCGATCAGTGAAAAGAAAAATATTGAAAAGAACATAAAAAGCCAAGAGTGTCAGGAGCATCTTGGACTTATAAGAAAATTATTCGTAAGTGTAGGTTGAGCACCACTACCACATGGCTCAGTCCATAGCGCGCAATTAGTCAACGCGTTTTAGTTATCCTTAACCTCCATGATGCTTGATAAACGGGCCCAATATGACTTTTCGTTTAATGTGGAAACGATTCAGCCTAATGGATGATTTAGTCAGAGCTTAGCGACGTTTCCGAAGCCCTGTAGGATGCCTTTCATAGGAGTCCTTCGGATATTCTTTATTTGTTTATCTGTCCATTTGCCCGTCAATCAGTCGATCAAACATCCCGTCAATCATTCTATCAATCAATCCACCAATCTATCTATTATTATTTTATCCTCTTCCGTTACCATATCGATACACAAATATGTGGGAAAAAACCTAGTAACTGTCACAGTGCTGTTTAAATCCATTTCAATAGAGTAAAGTTCCGGATTTACTTCACCACAACGAAATCGCCGGATATTCTATTTTCAGTCTTATTTTATTCCGATACTACCGCTGGTGATTCTAATTGCCAGTGTCAATCTAAATTCGAAAAGTTCTAACTTTGGCGTTGATCCAAGATTAATATCATTTCGGTCCATTCGTGTCCACTTAATCGCATCAAAATTCTGCCAACTATGCTAGTCTTTGCTTCACTTGACCCTGAAGTTTCTCCGCTGCTAAATTGAGTGACCGATATCTTGTTTTGTTTGGATAATTTTATGTATCCACGAAGAATGGAAATTTCACTTCCTAGCTTTGGGTATGCTTACTGATATCAATAAATGATTTTTCTGTGTTGCTTTAGCCTTGTTCTATTGACAAGCAATCATGACGTGGTTTTATTGGGTTTATTTAGTAGTCTGATTTTTTTAGTTCTGTAGTATTTATTGGTCCCATAGACCTGAAAAAACTATCGAGGAATTGTATTTTTGTACATTTCTCACGTGTCATATCAATGAGTGCTAATTCGCTACCGGCTTATTTTTCTTTGATTATCCAGCTTATTAGGTGGATAGCAGTCATATTAGTGTCTAAAAAAAGCCTAATTCAGAGTTTCAGGAGTTCATTGATTCCCCTAGAAAAGTAAACAGTTCTATAGTTAGATTGACATGAGATCAATGGATGAGAAAGTGTCTAGCCTTAAATTACGTTAAGTTTTTGAACTAAACTGAGTTGTTCAATTAGTGTTATTAGTAAGGTTGGCAATAAACTAATAGTGAACTCACCGCTGAAACATTAGCCTCCTGCTTCATGTCAGATAAGATACTGTGAGATTCTGTTTTTGCGATATACTTCGACCCGTGCTTAGCATATCTCGACAGAGTTCCGATCTCAGGGGAGTTTGTCTTTTAAAGGACTTGCATGGCATGTAATCTGAAATATACTGGCGACGGTAGCTTGTGAGGCAGTTGAAGTGACAAGCTGCGTAAGAACGAGTGACTCTGAGAATTACAGATCGGTTAATGTCTTCAGTAATAGAGAGCTGACTTCTGCCGTTTTTTTGAGAAGTACTCGAAATGCTAAGTCAGTGTTTTAAAAATATGTTTTTCTCTCAGGACATCATGATTTACAATTGTTAAATTATCCATATATAAAATGGAAACTTCACGGCACATCACAAATGCAATGTTCCAAAGTTCACGACCCATTTACAAATACGAGTGGTATGGATAGCAATTCAAAGAAAACAGACGTGGTCGTTATTGTTTTTCTAGGACTATCCATTATTTATATTGTTGTTTTGGGTGTATGCTTCACTTAATGAGAATTCAAGTGTGTTCGTAATATCACAGATCATTAAAAATCATTTTGAGGCACCTGGATTCCGAAGCATAGAGATACAGCAATGTAAAATGTTATTGGTAAGGCTCAAAGATGAATGTTTCAACTGATTTCGTTGTTTGCTTCTAAATACACTACAGAATATTCTGGTCGATGGAGTGGAAGATACACTACGCTACAAATAATATCTGAAAAATGGATGGAAACCTGTAATATCAAGTTGGCCAGATAAAAAATTTCAGGGTACAAGCGTCAGATTTTCTATAAAGACCTTTTCGTCACAATGAGTACGTGACCATGCGGGAGCGAGAAACACAAATCCTTATTGGACAACGATACTGCTAGAGTGAAATTATTTGTTTCTCCTGTCTACTTTACGTGTGATTCACGCTTTGAAGAATGGCAAGTTATTTCATTATTGTTCGCATACTACGAAGTCGAGTTAAATATCTTGTAAGTGCTGGAAACGGCATTTTACAGCTCCGAATCATCAGGAAAAACGGTTACCAAGAAATCTTCTGCCTAGAAAGATCCTGTGTAATCGTCTAACTAAGTGGCAATAACGTTTTGTAGGCGTCTCATACCATCAAAACGCAAACTCGAAAGGACAATTTGTTTGTACTAGGTTGTTAAAAATATATTGAAAGAGATGCGTTTGGCCACAGTTTAAACTCTGCGCCACAAGTCGCTAAGATTGTACTGAATATGTTGAACACAAAGACTGGTGAGTTTCTTTATTAAGTTGATATTCCTAAGATTATAAGAGAGAGACGTTTAACTTGCGGTTATTTGTAGATTAATTATTTGTAATGGTTGTGAAAAGATTGGAGGAGACTCAAATCTCCTAGCAAGCTAACATGTTAGGATAAGTTTATTGAGTCCTCTATAAGTTTTAGCCTTGTAAGGTAGTCAGTAGATCGTACGCCTAAGCGATAAGTATATTAAGATTATTATGCGGTACCAGGCCGTATATATTCTTCAAACTAAGAGGGAATAGTAGTTACGTGGTTACTATAAAAATGAATTATGACACCCCATATACATAAGTTTGTCTTAGTAAACGTAATTACCCTCGTTGAGCTATTTTTTCCCAAGGGGTTCATGTATTTAGTAATACGTTGTCTAAATCAGGTGTTCATAAACACCCTTAAAACCTGCAGGTTTTAAGAATGTCGGTTAAGGTTTTATTTTAATATCCGATATCAGTAAAATATGAAAATCCCCAAGTGCGTACGGATTTATGTAACTTTTTCGTCAAACCTTGAATTGTGTTTTAGTGTTGTGTTGTTTTCTCTTATGAGTAGGTAAAGCACGTAAAGCTCTACCGAAACGCCCAGTACCAGAAGGCGAATCATCAGAGTCAAGTGAAGAAATTAAATCCCCAAGATCTTCATCTTTTGACTCCTTAGTGATCAGTCGACTGGAAGAAAAAGAAGAACTTCAGCATTTAAATGATCGTTTCGCAAATTATATCGAACATCTTCATAAAAACATCTTCAATAAAGAGTTCAGTGGTCATATTGACCTTTTAACGAATTCTTTAAAAGTAAGTCCTGCATATTCAAAAAATATTAAAAAAGGTGGGAAAAAACATTTTGTATAGCATCCAATGTTAAATAATGTGAGGATTTATCAACTGTCTTAGTATGTGAACTTAGGATATTCGTTAATATATTTATTTTCTGTTTACTCGGAAACTAGCGGTCTGGTCATAATTACATATCAAAAAGCACCGGTTTTCTTTACTGATCATGTACTTCACAATCCACAGTTTGAGCATTTTTAAAAACGAATGTACTAAACTTCTTTGGGATGAAATATAACTCGGTGAAACTCTATTTTATGGACGACCTTTGAACGTATTTTTAAGTGACCTTGAGAACATTAGCCAATCAGAAGAGAGTTAGTATAAAGTAAAAATATATTATAAAAAACTGATGAGTTACAACGGATATTCTTCTTTTACATGATTTAAGAACTTGTTGAGGTTTGATAAAGGTTCAGAAGTTTTGAAATCATAGTGCATGCGGTATAAGAACTCGTCCATATGGCTCCATAATAATCGTCCTCTGGAGCCGTAGTAGGGTCTTAAAAAATACTTCAACCTAGACCACATGCCCTCAATGTTGTTTGTATGGACCCCCGTCGTTGGATCAACAAAATGACGTTTGTGCACCACAACATGATGCACAAAACCAAGTCTCGAGAGGCATCTATACGCTTTCCAATCATCGGTATAGATCGTCGTGCCAGGCTGAACGTACTCCTTGATGATTGGTATGATTGTCGTTACCTGACGGTTTCTTACTCTTTGAAAATGTCCTTTTTGAGTTGAACGATCGTAAAACCCAAGTACCTGTCAAGTATATTCACGGAAGTGCTACTTACCCAATCTTCTTTGATAAAACGTCGTTTATTGTATTTTCGCTTTCTAACTAGCGCCTCATCTATTTCCACTATCTTTCCAACTCCTCCAAATGATTCATGTACTCGTGTCATTTTCATTGCGCATATATCACGACAATATTCATACCACTGAACAGCGGAAGTTTCCGCAACATCTGCAAAAGCCGCATCTAATGTTACTGGAGACTTTATGATCCAATTTGAAACGATTATCATGATTTGTCAGCCTTCGCCGTGACCGGGCAAAAAAAGTGCCAGTTCGAGCAGATTTTTTTCTCCAACATATAGTACATCGAAATACAATGTCATCGCGGTAGTCTGAACATCGTGCTGCGGTCATTTGATTGCCGCAGTCACACACAGGAACTTCTTAATAGTCCCATCTGCTGTAGTCTCTCAACGATGACCTCTTCTCTAAAATCTGCTGTAAAACGATCGAATGTGGGCATCTCGCATTGAACTTAGCGTCGTGACCTTGAAACTCCTTAAACGCTTCTGATTGGCTCGTCCATAAATTAGAGTCCTACCTGGCAGTCTATTGGTTTTAGAGAATAAGACTTAAAGCGTAATATGTACGCCTTCTTACCAAAACATGTGATTTCATCCCGAAAACAGCATACGAATTTAATTTAAATTTACTCATTCACTAGGTACTTGGATATTGCGGCTAATAACAGTACCCATTTGCTTAAGCCTTAGTACTTATATGAGGCATATGATTGCTAATTACTGGTTGGTCAAAGTAATAGACATATTCCGGGTTTTTTGGATACCATGAACGTTTGGATAATGTGATTATAAATTTTACTGACACAGGATATATCTTTTCCTAAATATTCCCTTTGTTCATATTGGTAGTCAAATAAAGCAGTACCCTGATATGTTTTATATCCGTGCATTAAAATGAACTATATATACATATAGTTTGAAAAATCAGGCAATTAATGAATGCGATTCGATGGATTCTTTTGTGGTCCTCAGCAAACCTAAATTTAGGATCTATTTTTTGTTGATAGATTCTAATAATATAACATTTAATTCTATTTCGCAGCTATGTATTGAGTCATTATTTGAATACAATTTTCTGTCCTCAATTATTCCAAATACTTAATAGTTAGCTGCCGGTTCATGAGCTGTGATATAATTTTATCAACAGTGTAAAGGGAACAGAAGTACGGCAAGATAATGTTGTCTCATTTCAGTTTTTACTTTGATCGCGAACGGGATATTACTAAAGATGTAATGTATGTTCACTTCTTAGCGTTGAATGCAGTATTCATGAATTTTCGGTTTATATTGGGGATTCATATATATTATATTGGCGAATTCATGTGAAATTTCATGTTTGCTAACTGCATGTGCCCTGCTGGACTTAAACCAATTGTGTTAGTCTTCTTGTGATTTTTTTTACATTCCGGTTACAATTGGTCCACAGTAAAAGTTGTTGCTACCGGAGACTGGCTTTGAAATTACTTTACGTCCTCTCTTGTCGACAGTCAAACAGCTTTGGTTGGGGATAAATTCTGGTCTTTATTCATAGCTTAATTTATCTTTAAATTAATATGGTACTTATTGCTTTAATTAACCTTCATACCTTACATAATTGTGTACAGAATGAAATGGATGACTATGTAAAAGTTTTTTCAAACGAAGTTGAATTATTGCGCCAAAATTTAAATAAAACTTCACTTGAATTAACTAATGCTAAAATTCAGTTGAAAAAATCCACATCTGATCTAGATGAAACAATTAAACAACTTGAGCGTTCAAAAGCCAATGAGACTGAAATGGGTAATAAAATTGCGTCATTAAATGTTCAACTATCTCAGTTACAAAATCAATTGGACGTATGTAACGTAAGTTAAACGGATGATATATATATATGCATATACATAGTATAATATGAGTTTTATATTTTTACACTAATAGCTGTTTTCAAAGTAGATTTAAACTGTAACCTATGTGGGGTACTAAGATTTGAAAGCTTAAAGATTTTTCTACCAAACTAATAAGTTTAATGAACTGTCTAATAACGTGTAGTTCTTGCATGAAACAGTCGTATTCATAAATTAACCGAAAATAGTAGACCATTTCACATTTAAAAAACAGATGCCTGATTTGTGGTTTATTCACAATTTGGACTCAACTTAATCTTTAAACGAGGATGCCATAGAGTATAAACGTTATTGAAAAAAATATACACATTAACTTCCGGCAACTAGAACCATCGATATTTTCAGTTTCATTTAGATATGTGTCCATAGCCAAATAACGTTAAAAGGTTCTCCTACTTCCATAATCCCCGCAACATAAATGTCATTCGAAGTGTGAGTGGTCTACACGAATATATAATCTACTTTTACTTCTTACAAAAGTTATGAAATAGCCCGAGCTTATTTGCGAGAAATAATATATTAATCCCAAATTTTGTATCAATCATGGGTTTAAAAAATATCCGTTGCTTATTTTCGGGTTCCTGGAGAATAGACTTACCTCAAAAAACGTTGTTTAGTCACTCTGGTTGTTTTTTTGAATTACTCTTTAGAAATTTCTACTTGCACAATGCGTAAACACTCTCATTTCTCACCTCCGTAATTCGTCTAACGGTAGTTTTAGAGGAAAAATATACTGTATACTTGCAGATTAAACTGAAGTATGGTTACTAGTCTGTTCTCAAGACTCTCAGTTAATTCCTTTTGTTCTGCCGAGTGAAGTAGGTAATACAGAACTTATTTAACTCATCAGCCTTTCGATAAACTGAATACAATTTTATTCATGAAGCTTTCGCTACTTTAGGAGTTGATTTAGTCCATGGATAGATTGTTTTTCCGAGAAATTTATTTATTTAAGTCTTATTATTATTATTATTATTATATCTTCCATTTATGTGCTTTTGTTGACAATAGAATTACAAAATAGATTATGATTCATTGATGGATCAACATAAAATGTTAAAATCTCAGTTGGAAAATGAAACTCTGTTGCACACTGATACCAAAAATAAGCTACTTACAGCTTTAGAACAATTAGAGTTTAAAAATCAGCTATTAGCGAAAGTAAGTTGTTCAGTTTTTTTCATTTATTCAACTTACATTTTCGTATGTTAATGTCGAGTAACAGTGCCATGTACCAACACGAAATAGTCTAAAGAGTCTATTTTACTTTCAACAAAACCAGTTAGCTTATTCATTAATGTCTTTATGTTTTCATCTTGTGGACAAACTGATTAGGTAATCAAATTAATTCATTCACCAGTACTTGGGTATGAGGCAAAATAAATGTAAGGGCTATTCATAATAATACTAACGGGTTGCCCAGACTGAAGTAGTCAGAGCGGGGTTTGAACCTGGACTTAGTGACCAGAAGTTAAACTCCCTGAGCACTAAGCCACTGCTCCATTTGCGTGAAAGTGTTCGTGTTATTAGGATTTTCCACAGTTTCACGGAAAGAAGTTCGCAATGGCGTGTACAAGTCTCTATGCTATTATGTATATACTTTTGTAAAATCTTGAAATGGTTTATACGTTGATTATTCTTTAGAATCTGATTTCTGATAGGCAAGTGTCTCAAAATCAAACCAAATATCGAGTACTTCTATTTTTAATGGTTGGATATGAAGAAATCTTGCTAGATTTGGATGGATTTTATAAATAATTTTAAAATCAACGTGTGGGTTTGTTGAGTAATCAGAGTCGACTAAATGTTCAAAGATAAAATTCCTAATCTCATTCCTCTCACTCTTGTTGGGCCATGTTGGAATATGTTTTCTGTTATGCCCTAAGCCCGTCAAATCACACGTAACTAGGTCACCAATTAGAACACCGACTTATATGACATTGTCCCTGTGCTAAACTAATGGCGCATCAGTCAGCACGAGCAACCTTGAGTCAATTCTGAGTTCTCATGGGTCCCCTTTATAGTAGTTTCTCGCCTAACCCAGCCGGTTCAGTCCAAAATACAAATATCAGCCTCTGAAATATGAATTGTATATTTCAGACATCCTTGGTTTATACACAAGCAGATCAGACCGCATCACACCTTAAAATGAAAAGTAATAATTATACAAGCTCAAGCCAAAAGTGGCTGTGAGTGTGGAATACTGTAACTGATAAATTGGGAATAAGTTAAGAATGATAAGTCGTATAACAGTGTCCAATAAGTCAATGAAAGCTTATAATAAAAGGAAAATAAATATACATATAATCTAGTTATTTAATAGGTATCCAATAGGACTGTATGTAATAATAGTCCATAAATAATTTCTAACAGTTACCATTCATTTAGGATATAACATTTTAATATGTGTTGAAAGCAAGCATTAGCTACGGCCTATTTATTTTGCTCAACAGGAAGAGTACCAAAGAAGTATATCTTGTCAAACTGAATAACTAAACCTGATTATTAATGAGTTTGTAGCATTACTACGGAAACTTTACTTGATAATTTCAAATAAATGATGGACTACTAAAAATCCTTAACACAGAGTTAAATTTTCCTGCAAAGTCCTAACATTCATCGAAATACTTTAGTTCGAATCAAATAAAGGATCCCTTTCACTTCAACACAGAATTGTTTACAGATTAAAATATGTCGCTTGTGATGTTTTCTATTTTTTGGAGTCGTCTCGTGAAAACATGACTTGTCCAAAGTAACATCTAAATTACACAAAATGTTCCCCATATAATCCCATAGAACTGAAAAATCTACAAATCAAATCAGCAATAGCATGATATACTGTTAATAAGAACATTTAACACATTTCAGTGTTGTGACCACGTTACACTAAGGGGTTGAATATACGAATGTATTTATTATCGTCTAAACTTTAGTTTAACACATCTTGTTCAGAGTTTCTTGTTGATTACCTCCAACCACCACTTTACATCTCAATGCACAAAACGTTTTGCGTAATTTATGCCGTTCTGATACTAAACCATTCTGTCAAAAAATACAAAATACATCAGCAATACCTCTCCCTTTATATAGTCAAAAGTTCTCCGGTAACATAATATACAGCGAAATTGGTTAGTCAAATACAACTGTTGAATACATGAGAATCAATAGGAATATTCCCTATCTAATGCAGTCGGATTTCCATTTTCAAGGATTCAATAAAATAATAAACTCAACAGACAGTCAAAGACAAAGACTGCTCATTTAGTTCACAACATAACCTTGAATCTAGTAAGACTTTATTGTCGGTTGTTCGGTACCATACAATTAGAAAATTAAACAGTAGAGGCAAATCTTATCCAAAGTTAAATAAAGGTTTTATCAAAGAAGATTGGGAAATACGGAAATATGGTTACACAAGTCCTGGTTAGAATTTAAGGTACAAACCAGGGAGAAAGATTCTAAAAAAAACAGTACTGTCAAGCAAAATACTTTGGAGGGATTTTCAGACTATCTATTCTGTTACAATAAGTATTTCAACAGCGATCAGATTGACGGAGATAAACTAATTGTTTTTTTTTTGAGTCATAGACATCGTATTCTATTTCAGTTCTCCAGTAGCTTCTTTTTCTCCATTATGCCACTGTTAGTGTCACCATATTCTCACCTCTATTCTCATGTTTATTAGTTTCCATTCTATTCGTCCATCAGTAAAGCGTACTGACAGGTCCTGTATGGATGTTCATTATTATAGTATCTTGATTATTCCATGTTTTTTGGATGAGAAAATAACTTAATTATTGGGTTTCCCATACTGAGTAAATTTTATCTGACACCTGGAACTTTAAAATTTATTACTATCTTTAATATTCAACTATCATTAGGTCAATATAAAGTTGGTACTTTGCTGGTTAAAGGTTTCAACTTCTAAATATTGAGTTACAGTTTCAACCATCCTCTACTAATTTTAATTCGGACGCCTAGGTAGTATCGCTAGCCCAAAAAATGTGGTTCAAAGCGACATACATTGGAACGTAGTTAGTCGTTGAGTATGGATAAAAGTCACTAAAAAATTAAATTAATATGTTGTTGATGTCATAAATAATGAATATTAACATTAACACCGTTGAATGTCGGCTCAGTGGTCTAACTGTTAAGCGTTCGCGCGCGAGACTGATAGGTCCTGGGTTTGAATATCGTGGGGGCGGGATCATGGATGCGCACTGCTGAGCAGTCCCATACTAGGATGAAACGGTCTTCCAGTGCTTCCAGGTTTTCTATGGTGGTCTAGCTTTAATTGACTCATGAATTCAACTATTAAATTAATGAATATTACTAATAAACATGGTTACATCAAAACCTGTTTACGTACTATAATCTACTTCAATACATTTACATACATCTAAGTGATAATTGTGTGACTAATGCTGCATAGTTTGTTCATATAATTATTGTTACTTTATTTTCAATTTTCAGGAACGTAATATCTGGAATAGCGAATCAATTCAATCGCATTTAACGTCTATAATCAAAAGTGTCGAAGCAAATTCTCATGATAAACTATGTCATTTATTATCTGAAATACGTTCACAAATGACAATACAATATGATCAAGCAAAAAATAAAATAAAAGAGGGTTTGAAAGTAAGCGGTAATAATCTTTTGATGTTGCTGTTAACTTATCGAAGCTAGATGGTTTGATAATTAAGCTTTCGTTATCGTTTTGAACAAATTCAGTACCCAAAGATTTTCATGAACTAGACTCTGAAGATGTTCACAATGACAATAAAAACTTTGCAGTTAGACCATTTAACTCAGAGAACTTAACAACACCACCCAAATCGTCCTACTTGAGCTATAAATATTCTCCATCATATCAATAATATGTTTGAGTAGTTTTGTGCGTATTCCTTTTTCCTGAGCTCTTAGTAGAACACTATGGCATATTCATTCGTTTGATCCACTTCTGACTATTGTATGTTACCCATTCGAATCCATTCTGCGTACTTTAATCACGATATTTAAATTCTGTGTAGCTCACATCAAAGTCGAAAAATCTGATCTTGGTTGTTGAATTCTTATTTTCATTGCCAAGTATTCTACTAGCTAATAATTAATATATTTTGCTCTCAGTAAGTACAAGCTGATATATTAATAATGTTACGTAATTGTATGGTTCTTAAAAGGGGGAATCTATCTTCTGATACATTATAATTATTGGGTCTCTAGGTCATACATGTATAATATTCTAATTTTCATTCTTTGTAAGCAGGTAGTTATTCAAAAGCAGTTAAATCTGGTAAAAACAATTCACTAATTCTAAGCTAAGCATTTCTTTTAAACAATAAGAAAGTAACCTTTTTTAAATATTCTTTTGATATATCATTTCTTCATTTGGTTACTATAAGGCAACTTTAGATGCAGAAAAATTACGATCAAATTCACTTGAACAAGATCTTAGAAATAAAATAACTGAATGTCAACGTTTATCTCAGTTAGTATCATCACAGTCAAGTGACTTATATAATTGTCGTCATGAATTAGAAGCTACTCGTAAACAGCTTAAAGATTTTGAACAACAATTAAAATTTAATGAAGATAAATTACATGAAATAATTAGTCAACATCGTTCAGAAGTAGAACGTTTATTAGAACTATTAACGGATAAATCAACTGAATGTACTGAATTAGCTGGAATAAAAATTCAATTAGATGCTGAACTTGCTATGTATAGAAAATTGTTAGAAGGTGAAGAATCTCGGTAAGTTTTGATCTTTTTTTCTTTTTAAGTTTATTTTAAATAATCTTCATTATATTGTTTTTTAGTTAAAATTATTGACCTAAATCTATTCTTAGTCTAGAGAATATCAATATTGTCTATTGTAGAGTGATCACTAAAGTTGTATTTCAGTACAGGTTAATTCTGTCATATCATTTATGGATTTATTACTGTAATATATCTTGTAGGTAACTTGATTAAAGTAGTGGATTAATAATTAATGCGCTCGACTAGTAAACATTACGTTCCAGATTTGAATCCCACTCCACTCTGATTTGAGGAGCTGAGTAGTAGTGACATTAGCATATATACAATAAGTTTGACTGAAATTTGAGTATCTAAAAGGACATACTTGATAAGCAAGTTACATTATCACTATCCAACCTAAATCTTCACTATTTTATGTAATGCTTTTCCTTAATCCATCCTTATGGGCCTAGTTTACAAAATATTCAAAGGAGTAGATCAAAGTCTCGACCTACTTTGAGAGAGACGAATTTATGAATTAAATGTTCATAAATCTGAAGCATTACTGAATACTCCATTAGTTTCTACCATTCAATACAAGTATCATTCCAAATTATACATATCTATTTGAAATAATAATTCGTGATCAACTGTGATTATTGTCTTTTATAGAGTTAAGAATGAAAGTAATGAGATTGTTTTAAATATATTTGAAACTAATATATAATCTATCAATTATGAATAAAGTATATCACTGTTATTCGTATAACAACTTATAGAGATTAACAGTAAACTTAAAATGTATTTACTTTATCAATCACACTCATCGACAACTTACAGGCTTATATGAGAGTTGTTTATATCACCTGGCTATAGGAACATTTGTTTTACCTACTGAAATGTATATTTCTGTTTATAGTAGAATTATATTTAGGAAATTGCTAAGAATATCCTATTGTAGGTTAATTGTAATGTTAAGAATCAGTGGATGATGATCACAAGTGATTGATTGAAAGTTGATTTTTTAAAGATATCAATGGTACCACACTGTTACAAATCAAAACAAAGACAATCTCACGTAAATTATTTTCTCGACGATTTCATTTTAGCTATACAATTGTATTTTTGCTCAATCCGTTTACCAAAAATAGTAGTCTATAATAAAATAGAATGATGTTGCGCAATAGGGGAAAAATGTCATATAAATCATGCCATATCATATAAATCAATTACAAAGTCGGATATTGAAAGGAAGTTACGGTCGCAGCCCGGATAGCTCAGTGGTAGCGTCTCTGACTATGAAGCTGGGTGGCACGAGATCGAATCCGCCAGGGAGCACCAGTTCCCTCAAGATTACAGGTACACCTTGCTGACGAGTGCCAAGTAGCACGAAACCCGGGTCCAGGGTTTCCTATCGACTACCTCCAACCACCATATAATCTCAACATAGTCCACGCAGTGTCGAGTCACCTAGACTGGTGGCCACATTGCAACATGATCGATAGCATTCGATCTGCACACATAGCATTGGTCACCACCCAGTGATCAATCAATTGTAATAATATAGTGTTTAATAAAAAAATGTCAACATGAAGATAATTGTCCACTTGATAAATATTGGAAACAGAACCATTAATGGCTAAATAATATTTGTGCAAAATAATTGGAAAGGAATTAAAAAAGCCCAGCAGATAATGGAAGATGGAAAATAAGGTGGTATGATGGATCGAACATACTGTTTTTGTGCATAACAGTAAGGTTTGAATTGGTGGATAGCTAGACTCTGATGTATATATTTTTTCGTTTGTATTCGTTTTGAGTTGATTTTTCTTATTGCACAAAAAATTATGAAGGTGGATTATAGGGAAGCAGAGTGACCAGAAATGACTTGATGTTCCAAGCTTTAGATTTTGCCTGAATTCTGTTGTGTTTTAGATATCCAGAGAGAGTTATGCTCTGAGATGTTCTTCGTAAGAGCTCGTTTTATGTGGTCAATACAACCTGCTCCACATGAACAAGTTAATTGATAGATGTACATTGGCCCAAAGCGAAAGCTTGTTCTGCACAAAACTACGAATTAAAGCCCAATTAGAGAAGAGAATACAAGTTTCAACGGAACAGAATCTTATCAGAGATCTCAAAAGTTTGCTTTTCGGGATTTCTGCCTCAATATTTCCTTTAAACTGAATGTTCATAAAGAAGATCTTTTGTGCTAAAGACACTCTTTCATGTTGTTATTTTGCCTTCAGATTTTTTAAAATGAATTTATGTAGAGATCCATTGTTGTAGTATATCAATTTTAATATCAATTGTATCATCTGTACACATACGTGTAGCCCTTGTCTATAGTGAATGGATCAGGTTTCTCTTCTGTCTCAACTTTGAAAATCCTTGTACTGTCCATTCCAGGTTGGTTGTTCATGTATCGATCTTTGTAGAGAACCACCAGGTTTATTTGCACGTGAGAATATTAATTCCGAATCCATTCCATTGTGAACTTAATTGATTGATCGCAGCTATTAAACTTGTCCAGGATGTCACTGCAGTTGATATTTTTGTTGAATAATCTATTTATTTATTTAAACACATAAACATTGATACAAGGAGGCACCAAATATATATGCCCCACATAAATCATTCGATTTGTATGAGGGCTGAGATACTGTCCGGGTGCCCAAACCGGAGCAGGTGGTTTTCTTAGGGCGCCACATCCAGAGTCTTTGACCTGAAGGCCTAATCCACAAGGCAGTGGAGCAATGTCAGGAGATTCATTCTCATGGTTTCCGGTGACCAACAATAGGTTCATACACCATTTGTTCCTTCAGGATTCTGGAGCCCATGTGCATCATTGGTTTAGAATCAGTGTTTTCCAACTCCCCAGGTGGATTTTTTATAACCAACCTGGTTAAAACGCCGGATATTAGCTTATCGTCTTCTCAATTTCGTAAACAACACGCCCACTACGAGAAGACAGTGAGTAGGATTCCCTGGCAGTGGTTGTATGCACGCGGCCATGTGAGAGCATTTTGAGAGGGAGAACTGACTCTACCCACTCTAGGCTGGACCAGGGCATTTGGGGGCCAAATGATCTATGCATCTAAATATATTTTGTGCAGTTGGAAACTATCAATCTTTGATCTTCTGATGTTGCTCCACCGCCTTGTGGATTAGACCTTCAGGTCTAAGGCTTCAGTGTGGCCCTCTAAGAAAACCACCTGCTTCGGTCTGGGCACCCGGGTAGTATCACAACCCACACCCATATCAAGTGACTTGTGTGGCACATATGTATTCGGCTCCCCTTTGCACCAATATTTATGTATTCAAATAAATAAATAAGTTGTTGGAAGTTAACAATCTTAAGCTTCTTATTTCAGTTTATAATATCTGTAATGTTGGTAGTGTCAGATACACAAAGATCATCACTACTTCAAATATTCCATGTTTTTAATTTTTAATTTCAGTAAATAAAAATCAAGGTGTAAATTTTTGTTATATTTTCTTAGCCTTCATCTATCTCCTACAGAAAAGATCCTAAAAGGTAGACCAATTGTTCGAACAAATATAACTCCTACCAAACGTACATATAGTGACATGTATACATCTTTATTAAAATCAAAACAACAATCAACTGGAAGTTGTCTTCATGATGTTGATTTAGATCATACAGATACTAATAATATTGTGCAATCTTATCCTTTGACAACTGAACGTAAAATATCAGAAATTTCAGATTCACACTCAAAAATAATCAATATCGACTTCAATTTACATAGTTCTGGCTTATCTACATTTCCTTCATCATCAAGTTTAATTGGAGATTCTTTACGTATAACATGCCGTGCTGATGGTCCAATACATTTCTCTAGCGCAGATCCTGGGAGGGTTTACTACGTATTTACAATGCTAGTGAAGATGTGAGTGTATTTTAATATACAGAAATAGATTCTTACATTCTATATTCAGTCATTTGATGCTGTAATTAATACATTAGAATATAATAATTTTATTATCATTACACTTATATAAATTTGTTGCACTTTTCTCATGCTTGCTTCCAATTTATCAGGCTATTGATTTAAGTAATTGGCATCTGTACGCTGGACCAACTCATGAAGGTTCATCGGATTACGTAAAACTGTATACATTTCATAAATCTCAAACGTTGCAACCACACACAGAATTGCAAGTAAGTTAATGTATAATTGCTGTCGGTTGTGTTTTCTCATTGTTACTGGTATTTCAATTATTTCTGAAATTGTTTTGATTAGTTTTTCATCACTTTCCACTTTTTTTGTTTACAGTTGATTATTAGCTAATTATTATCGGAGAACGGTATTTTCTTAGTTTAATTCACAGATTGATTTTGGCCAGATCATCAGTAGAAATCTAGAAGCACTGGACAACCGTTTCTTCCTAGTATGAGATTCCTCGACAGTGTGTGTTCATTAACTCTTCACTAGGAATCGAACCCAAGAACGTTAGTCCCACACACGAACGCTTAACCTCCAGACCACTGAGCCTGGACCCAATGATGTATGTGTCTAACTTCATCACTCAACCAACTCGATTACTCAACCCTTATCCATTACTTGATGTGTATACCACCTGTCTCACACACGACATAGTCGAACCTCACTAGTCACATCTTCTCACTAGAACTCCAGTAGTTGTATCTTGAAGCTGGTCACTAGTGAGCAGATGACCATTGTCGGTATAGGGGATTTGTAGAGATTGTGTAATTAACGTATTTTAAATTAATTTCAGAAAGGTTTCTTTTCAGATATTATAATAATTATAATGATTGGGATCATGAGTCAATTGAAGCTAGACCACCATGGAAAACCTTGAAGCACTGAACGGATTAGTTAAAGTTAGACATTAACACCACTGGATGCCGGCTCAGTGGTCTAGAAGTTAAGCGTTCGCGCACGAGACCAATAGGTCTTGGGTTCGAATCTGCGAGGTGGAGTCGTGGGTGATCACTGCTGAGGAGTCTCACAATAGGACAAAACGGCCGTCCAGTGCTTCCAGGGTTTTTATTGTGGTCTAGCTTCAATTGACTCATGATTTCAACTATTGATATTTTAATTTACTAAATAAATTTCATTGGTTTACAGTAATATAACTTCCGATTGCCGCCGGTTACTTATTCCTTAATCGAATGCTTCTTTTGTTATCTGTCCATAAACACTTCACTGTTTTTCTATGTTCAGTAATATTTTGGCGAGGAGATTTTATGCACTCATCGATAGAGCCATAAGGCACATATTTTTACGTTCCAATTCCAGACTTTACAGCACAAGGTCGAATTCAGTTAAATTCGTTTCGGGGTCAGAGTCGTTTTCTTTCATGAACGTTCACAGTTTACTACTGCTGCTACTACTACTACTACTACTACCGAAAGCTGTAAGCAGTCACAAGATTGTAGTAAGTCATACAAGCGAACCAGTTCATTGATTGATCGAGAAAACTCCCAGTCCACATAAATTGATATCTGAAGTTGGGAATCTCCGATGTTTTAGCTTCTTTTTTGTTTGTTTGTTGCCAAAAATTTAGTGGATGTCTAATGTATCATTATGTTTGTCTATGTAAAGTGTCATTCAAAAAGAAGTCTGAACCGTCTTGAAATGCTTATTCTTACTAGTGAATCAAATTAGTTGTTGTTTGACTGTATGATACTAGTGACGGTAGATTGTTGAGTGAGCATATTTATAGTGTTTTGTTTTGGATGAATAATTTAACTAATTGTAGGAGTTCTAACTTTATACTGCATTCACCATACGCCTTTAAATGCCCCGGTATGGCCAGGGGTGGGGAAAGTTGGCTTTCCCTTTCGAAATGCTCTCACATGGTCACCATTGCCAGGGAATTCCTACTCACTGCCTTCTCGTGGCCGGGATATTGTTTACGAAATTGAGAGGAAGAAAAGCGAATATCCGGCGCTTTAATCGGGTTGGTGGGTATGGAGGGTCCACCTAGAGAAGTTGGAAAACCCTGATTCCAAGCCAATGATGCACATGGGCTTCAGTATCCTGAAGGAACAAATGGCGTGTGAATTTATTGTTGGTCACCGACTATCATGGAACTGCTCCGACTTGGGCACCCGGGTAGTATTCCGACCTTCACACAAGTCGAGTCATTTGTGCGGCGCATATATTTGGTACCTCCTTGTACTTAAGTTTGTTTAAATAAATAAACACACTTCACCATACTTGAGTGATATTCTCTTGGAAAATTTGTTGTCTTGTCAATAAAAGTTTGTGGTAATTTCAAGTGTTATCAAGATCAATTGAAAATTAGTTTATAGATGACAATTGTGATTGCTAAGTAATTGCTTACTTTAAGAAATAAACAACATGATAATCACTTACTCTTAAGTATACAAAGATTATAAACGAGTTTTAAACTATAATAAGAATGAACGAAACATTGGATAAATGAATTTTAATCATAAAATTCCGAGTAATACAGTCAGTCATACAAAGTGTACTCTTAATTGATTTGAAATTGCCATCTTTCTTCAAATAATTCATTGTAGGTTTTTCTTTGCTTCGCATCTGAACCTTCACAAGTCTCTTCTGCTAAACGTGTTCGTCCTGATGTCAGTGCAATTTTGCATTTAATCACTCCAGTATCTGTTTGGAATCCTTACAGTAGTTTAATTGCACTTCAAGATTCAACTGGTTCAGTAAGTTTTTGTTAAAAGACTTTATTTATCTTTAACATGAAATAAAATGATTATAGTATAATTATCTGTAAATTGTATCTGTTGTGTGAATTCTTTATTTCGACGTTAATCAGCAACAGATCATATGTGTATATAATACACTAACATGAAGTAATTTTATTTTATTTGTGGTTAGTCTTCTTTTCTGATTTACTACCTTACTAATATTGTAAATTTACCGTCTGTTTAATTCGTCTTTACTTAATAGAGGAGATTATAATTTATGGAAAACCTTTGAACGGCACTAAAGTGTCATTGTGGAACTTCAACCACGTACTACTGTCTAAATAATTTTGTAAATTCGTATGAAGAATTGAGATTGGAAGTTAGAGTTATGGGTTAAGATTAGGAATTAGGGCAAGGGTTTTCATCACGAACTGACATTTTTTTATAATGCTAAGATGTCTAACCATATGAATGAATGATTCCGCACGAAAATCAAGGAGTCACAGTCGCTGATGTGAGTAGTTTGTCCATAAATTATTGTCTTGCCATCTACTTAGTGTTTCTAGTATTAAAATAAAAGTAATTCCAATCACTATTGTGACATAGTTGCGCATAAATATTCAGTTTTAATTGGTATAGTGGGCCGTTAGAAATGGGCAAACGAGGTCACTCGATTACAATCAAAAATGACCTAAATGAAAATGTATATCATTGGCTACAAAAACAGATTGATTCCCTTAGGGGTAGGAATGCATTTATATAAGTGAGCATTTGTGCATATTATTCGGTAGCCCAATAGACTTTCTCCTTCAGTCTTGTGTTCTCATTCAAGTAGTCAGGTTCTCAATAGTTGTCGGTGGCAATCATATTCAACAATGTTCACGATTTTCATACTGGTATTTTTTCAGAAACTATTCTAATTTATGTGAACATTTATCCAAATATAAATGAATAATTTAACAGAAATTAAGCACCGGGTATATCAAAAAACACTAAATACTAATTTATATTTGAAATTATCTCAGGAATTAAGATTTCACTAATTCCAGCGTTTTGTTTACGATCTCTTCAAAATGAAGACGTTCAAAGAATATATAAATTTGAATGACAATTCTGCACCAAACTCTTCTAATCATGTTCAGATGTTGGTTAATTCTTTTTTGCATAGTAGAAAATATGTGTCGTAAGATGTGTAAAATTTTTGTTATGACGGATGGTATCCGCAATCTGATATTAATACACATGGTGCTACTCACTACCCCCCTAACTGACTACTTAAGCACAAACACAAGAGTGGACGAGAAAATATATTGAGCTACTGAATAAAGTACACAAATACTCATTTATATGTATACATCTCTCCATCTCTTAGACAATGATGTGTATTTGTTTTTCCGGTTACTTCTAATTGTCTTTGAGTGAACTTGGCTACTTCATATTAGTTTACCATATCAATGTTCACAAAGTGAAAAGTGCATGAGCATGTGTGTGTGTACGTATATTTGTATACCATTGTTGATTAAGAAATTCAATGAATAATCGACACCAACATGAACCCAAATATTAATCATTTTTATTTATAATGAGTATTAAAGTACATATTAGTAAAATTGTACGAGGTTAACTAATTTTTTTCAGTGTTCAATAAAAATGCAATATCTAACATTCTTACCGTCCATTCAGTACTGCATATAGGAGTGCAATTTTCACTAGGGATTTCATTTCAATCACCTGAAGTTATCTACATATGTCTTCTATGAACACTCAACTGTAACGCATCCCAACTTGACAGATGCGTAAAAAAAAAACAAATAAAGCGAAAGTTGGAGCTTCAAAGAAAATCCTCAGTGAAAATTATACTTTAAATGATCGAAAAATGCCCATAAATAAATGCTTGTCACCGTGTATATATTGTACATTGAAAACTGGATGCACTGCAGATTCGTGAAAATTTACACCTAATCAGTGTATATATACTGAATAAAAATACTCATTCAGAATTAATTATGATATTAAACATTAAAATAAATGTTGCAATTCAACTAAAACACTTATAATCCAATTTTTATAAAAACGATTTTTTTAATTGTCGGTTATCTTTCAGGATGTAATCTTGATGTTTAGTTTCTATCGATGAATCTAGGTGGATAACCATTTCTAATGAGTATCTGTCTGAGTTGTAGTAGTTCGTCATCTACAATAGTTATAGCTTAAAGCATCTTATTTTTATTACTGATTGACTGAAGTAGAAAATGTATGAATTGTTAAATTTTAAATTCTTACTAGTCTATAAATATCATATGTCGTGAGATTTAAATAAGTAATCTGGATATCTAGATTTGTTTCCTTACGCCTGTTACCTCTCTTTGAGGAGCATAGGCCGCTCACCAGCATTCTCCATCCAACTCTGTCCTGGGCAAACCTTTCCAGTTGTTATTCGTCCTTTTCATGTCTGCTTCCGATTCCCGAGACAATGTGTCCCTCGGTCTTTCAGTTTTTCGTTTCCCTTCAGCATTCCACATTAGCGCTTGCCTTGTGATGCAGCTTGATGATTTCATCAATATGTGTCTTATCCACTTCCAACGTCATTTCCTAATTTCCTCTCTAGAGGGAAGTTGATTTATTCTCTTCCACAGTAGGCTGTTACTGATTGTATACGGTCTTCCCTTAAACCGTGGGATTAAAATTGCTTTATATCTTTCTTTTTACCAACTAATTCTTTCTTCCTGTATTATATCCTGATATGCAATCTTGCTTTTATATATTACCACCATTGAATTAACTACTTCCATGAAGTTGGTGTTCATCTTATGGTGCTAATGAGGTGTGGCAACTTGACCGATGCATATATGTGCCTGGTCCTACTTTGTCACTGACTGACGGCCAACGGAAATTGAGTATACTATGTAGTCAATTGTTTTTAAATACTTGTACTGTTTTGATGATTCTTGTATTAGTTCTTCAAGTCTCAGCTCCGTACAATAAAACTTACTATCTGAACGTTCATATTAAAGATTCTGATGTTAGTTATGGATATTTAAAGTTTTTACATAATTCCTTAAAGTATACTCTATCAACACACATTATAGATCTTAATCATCATAGATTATTTGTCAAATAACTGATTTGAATGCATTGATCAATGTTGTGTTTGATATTGAAATATATATACTGTTTATTCTCGTGTGTTCGAATGACTTTACTGCTGAGGAGTCCTACAAAAGGACGAAACGGCCATCCAGTGCTTCCAGGTTTTCCATGGTGATCTAGCTTCAACTGACTCATGATCTTAACCATTGAAATTACTATAATATCCACAAAACCCATCTGAAAATAAGGAGTTTGAAAAAAAATCATTTTAATTAAAAAAGTAAATCTAATTTCTTATTATCTTGAATATGAAAACTCATAATAATTTTTCAAGCTTTCAAGTTTTTTAAAATTATTTTGAGCCATTAATTCCATAGTCAGATACACATTATTTGTGAATAAACCCATAATGTTTTCAATTATTAGCTAAAAAATTACTTTGATTTACATTCCTCTTAACGATCCATTTATTTGTTTTAACACAAGGAGGCACTAAATACATATGCCCCACACAAATCTCATTTGATATGTGTGAGGGCTGTGATACTGCCCGGGTGCCCAAACCGAAGCAGGTTGTTCTCTTAAGGAGCCACTCCCCGAGCCTTCGACCTGAAGGTCTGATCCACAAGGCAGTGGAGGATCGTAAGGAGATGCAGTCCCATGGTTGCCGGTGACCAACAATAGGTTCATACGCCATTTGTTCCTGCAGGATACTGGAGCCCATGTACACCATTGATTTGGTTTGGGATCCGGTTAAAGCGCCGGACATTCTCTTTTCGTCCTCTCATTTTCGTAAACAATACCCTCACCACGAGAAGGCAGTGAGTAGGACTTCCGTGGCAGAGGCTATATACGCGTGGCCATGTGAGAGCATTTCGAGAGGGAGAGCGGACTCTCCCCACTCTCGGCCATACCAGGGCATTTGGGGGCGACCATACCACGTTGAAAGCACCGGTTCTCGTCCTCTTAACGATAGATAAGTCATATCTTCACTTACTGGAATATATATTTATATGTTAAAACTGTTATGTACAAGGAGTTCTTAATAATTTGATAAGTGAAATTTTCAATGATCAAAATTAGTGAGTAGAATATCTCTTTTTGTTGATAAACAGAATGATGTAATGTGACAGTTTGTGATAGTTCTGTTATATCCGAGCGAAGACTAAATCATGAGTAACTTCTGAGACATATTAATTGACTAGTATTATCTATACATTCTTATGGTATAACTATTCAATAATTAGTTTATATATATTCATATTCCTCTTACTATTATAAGCTTCATTTTGACCTATACTTTATTATTGTACGATATACTGTTCTTAAGCTATGTTCACTTTATTGACTACTGCCTCCCACGTTCATAGCCACTTTTTGGCTTTATTGTGTACAAATGTTATTTCCTACTTTATGGTGCGTTGCGATCTATTTGATTGATATATAAACCCAGTATGTCTGAAATAAATGATTCGATTCGCATAGTGGAAGCTGGTATTGGTGTTCTGGACTCAAGTGGACGGGCTAGGCAGAAATAGAACCAGTAAGGACGCTAGACTGCTCATACCGGTTGAACATCATTGGTTTGGCACAGTGCTAAGATTGTATAAGTCGTACTTTGATTGGTGGATAAATCACGTGATAAAAAGACGGATATAAAGTCATAACAAGTTCTATTCATGTGATTTTATAGTTCTTAACTTAAACCTCTGAAATTGAAGACAAGACCACTAATCAAAAAAATATGATTTTTCTAAAATCTTATAAAATGATCTACTTATGTACAAAATCTTAACACAAAACAATATGGTAAAAATGTCATATTACAGTTTGCAGAATGTTTATTTATCTTCCAATCATTTAAGATTTAATTGTTAGACCTAATCTTTGAATGTCATATCATATCAACAACAAAAAAACGCATTCGATACGTGAAGTACATTTGTAGGTTTATTTTCTGTTATTATTGTATTCTCACTCCTATCATTCTTTTCCTTTTCATTATTTTAATTTATTCTATATGGGATTTCTGATTTTTCCCTTTTTAATTACTAATGTATTCAACAAATTTAATAAATAGTTTTTTTTAAAAGTTTTACTGTTACTTACTTGTTTAAGCGTGTTACTCCTAATGGAGCATAGGCCGACGACCAGCATTCTCCAACCCACTCTGTCCTGGGCCTTCTTTTCTAATTCCATCCAATTTTTGTTCATTCTTCTCATGTCTATCTCCATTTCTCGGCGTAATGTGTTCTTTGGTCTTCCTCTTTTCCTTTGGCCATGAGGATTCCATGTGAGGCTTGCCTCGTGACGCAGTTGGGTGCTTTCCTCAATGTGTTTTATTGTTACTTATTCATAAATTTACAATTCACAATTGTTATTTGTTTCATGAATTTAACAATGTATTGATTTTCAGAAAATTGTTTAAGCTAGCTATCTCATTGTTTTCAAAAACCAATGTACAAACGGTAATTAGGCGTTATATTTGTCAGTATTGGTCGAGTTCTATCTGTATTTGTTTTTCTACATAGTAAGCCTGAAGTATCTTTGACAGCTTACTGTTGTTTTCTGTATTCAATATTCAGATGTCCGAGAGAGAGAGAGAGAAGTAAATTCGGTAGAAATCGCTTAGACTATGATCTCATGTCCTTTTTGTTGTATATGTGTTTCGCTGTTTATTTGAATTTTATTGTGTAATGCTTATTCTTCCTTTAAATCTTCTTATAACTGTTCAATAGGTTCGCGCCACTTGTGAAATGGAATCATACTCTAGAAAATCTGATAAATATCAACATCAGATGTTGTTGCCGTTGATGATGAGGAAGACGGTTCAAGTGATAAAGTTTCCTCAGTCTGTTCAGATAATGATTTCACCTCAAACAATGATCCACAACAACAAACTGTTGAAGATAACAATTTAAATAAATCAGTGGTGAAGATAACGCGCTTGTCAGAAGAGACAACTAGAACATTTCAAAGTCATGGTGAATATTTGATTTACCGAAACATGTTAGTTCGGTACGATTTCGTAGTGATATTTGGCCAAATGAAGTAAGTATTAAACTTTCATATTGGGATAATTTCGTCTTCAACATTCGTAATACTCATCTCAATGGGGCAGAACAAAACGGATTCAATGAAAACTTTAGTTTAAAAATAGACTTGTAGGTAAAGCACTAGTAAACTAAATCAAATCGTAATTAAAAATGAATAAGAACTGAACCGAATTTGGAAATAGTATTGTAATGAAATAAGATTTAAAGCAATTGGTGATTTTATTGGGATGAAATAACTTGGACCTGTTTTGTACCAGTTTAATCTGTATAGATTTACACTGGTATGAACTGATGTATATCCTGTATTAAAACCATATCTCAAATAATTATACCACAATAAAATAATCCAATGATAGTGATTCTACTAATACAAAGACATAAATGAATTGTTGCTATGTCGATAACATTGTCAGAAGAAAGGACTTGACAGGGTTTAACCGTTATCAAAATTAATCGTAAGTGTTACTACACAAGTAAACCCAGCTGACGAGTCTCAAGCAGGACGAAACACACATCCTGGATTTCATTGCTATCAATCAACCATCTCTGCTTATAATGTTTGTGACTTAAGGCAATATCGAAGCAATCCTCACAGGATGTACATGCGCCAATAAGAGACTAATCAGTCGCAGTCCTAAGCGTCAATGGGAAGATTCAAATAACCAATACAAAGATGAATTATCTACCAGAAAACCAATTGAATTGAAATAATAAATAATTAATCTTTATTTGTTTAATAGTCCAAACGAGTGTATACATTTATGTACGAACTTATTCGTAAAGGAATTTACCATTACACGTTTTTAATGCTTAGAGTTAAACATTTATCTTGAACCATAGTGTATCATTTAACACTGGTATTCTTATAACAAGACAAGGAGTATATTCACCTCTATTATTACAAACGATTTGAAGGGATATCATTCTACGTCTCTAACCATTGGTTACGATAATCACAAGAAGTTTAACCAAGGTAGTCTGTGCCTATTTATAAGGCTAAGTTTAATTTACAGTGACTTCATGAACTAACACCATGTTTACAAACTCTTTATTTACTGAGATATTGAATCTTTGTGTTCTCTCAAATTCTGTATTCTTTATGTCCCTTTTCTTTTTCTCTTTCCAAATTTATTTCACTGTATTATACTCCTTGGATAACATCTTCAAGCCCTAATCTTTCCGATTACTGCTTATACTTTTATTACCTCTACCACTATGGGATTTGAATCGACAACTGCATCTCTGTGTTAATGTGGTATGGCAACTCTAACTGATGTACGTACGTACGAAGTTCTACGTTGTTACTGACTGACTGACTGACTGAATCATTGAATCCAGACAGTCAGTACATTATACATTTTTTAAACTTATATTTATCAATTCTACGAATAGACATCATGTGTTTCAATCACCCAATTTTACTTCTGTTTTTTTCTTCCAGTCCCATTTATTGAAGGAAGGATCACGTAACTATGTAAGTAATTTGTTTGTTATTTATATCATTATTATTGACGCTATATTATCACATTATTTTGTCATGCATTTCACATAGTAATGTACTAGTGGTATAGATATATCAGAGAATATTATTAACAAGTGACTCATATTTATTTGTATTTTAATCAATTTGATCTTGTTACAATTTTATTGACTACAAATCTTTGAGATAAAATTTTCAAGTTACCCCCTCCCACCCCCCTAGATGTACTATCGACAAAATATAATTTTCAGTTAAGTCTGTACTTCTATCTGTCTCTTATACATTTTCATTTATTTCATAATGTAGAAATGTTTTGTCTAACTATTGTTGATTGGTTGTTAGTTTCTATACAATAATTAAACAAAATGTTTTATTTGTGTTTTATTTTAAATGATTATCTCTTTTGGTATGGACATGTGTTTTTTGTGTCCTTGGTAATTTCAATTGAATGTTGTGTATTATTGTGATTGTTACTCAGAATTGTTTCATTTTGTCTCATCTATTATTGATGTTTAAAACAGATAAAATGATCAATAAACACATATTTATCTTAACTCTATCTTGATAAATAGTTTACTAGTAGTATAGTGGATGGAAACTCAGGTAGGGGAAAACTAATTTAGGGCTTAATGCCAAATTACACTGTGCCTTCGTAAAATATGGAAATCATACATTAAATACATTATTTGCACATTCTTCTTCAGTCGTCCTTCACATGCTTAATGGTTCTTTTAATTCTGTTGTTATAACAATTGCTCTCTGTTTTCCTTCTTGTTCTCTTCAATTCAATCTTACGCTGGCAGTCATTACACTTCCGATTGGTGCTATATACTACTTATCCCTATCAGCATAAGTAGCATATACTACAGTACTGCTTAAATAAAGTATATTCTTAGATAAAATAAAATTACTCATTCTAAGCTTGTCTAGAAATCTATGTATATTGTTAATTATATTTATTCAATTGTATCTACTTTGAAATTTTACGTGGGAATATCATAATTAAATACAAAAGAGCTGCTTTATTTTCAAGGAGTATCATGTTACTTCATCGACTGATAAATAAGTTAGAATTAAACAAGTTTACAATATAATTCCGAAATCACAATTATTTTATTGATTCGTTTTACTTTTGATCAGGTTAAACCCTGATCAAATAAGTATCTCTTCTCATATCTATATTTAAATAAATCAAATTTTATTCACCATATGGACAAATAATAATTATCTCTTATCGATTGATTCATCATTCTCAATCAAAGATAATAATCTTTCCACTAATTTCTAGTTATCAGAATCTAGAAGAACAAGTTTCAGTTGTAGATTTCGTCAAAGTTGTTGTGTATGTATTTTTTAAATCTGTGACCTTTAGGGGGGGAGAACCTGTTTTACCTTCAGGGATTCAAATCAGTTTCATATGACTGGTTCCACGTAATTGAGTTAATTATCATTTAGGTTGCTTCAGAATACTTATGTAATTCTAAGTTTAGTATACTCTATGTACATTATAAGGTTGATTCATTTAACATGTTTTCATATGATTCAGTGACCTTAGTGGTTAAGGCGTTGGACTTTAACTACTAGGTTACATGTTCAAACACTCGCCTCATTTATTTCGGTTTAAGAAAATGAGTAGTATTATTAACTTTCACGCTTGAAGCCGAGTACATAAATCTATACCTAATAAATGAGCCAATAAAAAACCGTTGTAATAAGGTATGATATCTGTTGTCGTCAAAATATCACTACCTGAAGGCCTTGAATGAAAATTTAGAGTAGTCGTTACAGTTTGAAAACTATGTTGAACTCCAAAGTAGATGTCGCTGGAAATTTTGTTTCCAAACATTGTCTTTAAAAGCTTTGTTGAACATGGCAGTATATAACACTGTACTTCATATATTGCATTTAGATAGGTAGCGTAATATATGCTTTTCAAAAGATACTGTAATGGTCTGTCTAAACAACCATTTACAGCCCTACATACTAAACCGATTGACAATATCATTTGAATGTTCGGACTGTGATAGGGTTTGAAGGTTTCAAACAACATGATCACTATTTCTCAAACTTAATATATGCCTGCTACCCAAGTACACCAGTCTGTACGTAGTAAGGGAAGTAAATGATCAAAATTCATTTTAAATTTGTTCCAAATCATGGATTTTTAAATTTCTGCCGATAATCGGAGTCATTTGAACATTTGATCTTAATAATTACACTATCAAAATTTGATCTTTACTTTTTGAATGACCATACCGATTAAGTAGGTTATGTTCGTTACTTCATTTTTTGTGGCTATTTCGGCAAATGTAAATAAACCATACTGCCACAGAAACCAGATTTAAAATAACAGCTCCTAAATTTTTTGCGTCAAGTTCAAAATACTACGGTGGATAGCTGTTATCTTAACATATGAACTAGGTACATGGCAGAACCTACCAACATTACTTGATAATCAGGAGAGAATTAAAGAAAGCAGTCAGCTTTGGGTGATTATGAAATGATAATGAGAAAGCGATCATTTAGTAGCGACCTATGCCATGTATGTCAATTCTTTCTTATAGATGGGCAGTGACCATCTGAATAACTCAGTGGTTACACCTGTAACAGTGAAGTTGGGTGACATGGGATCGGATCAACTAGTGACCAACAGTACCCTCAAGATTACAACTACACTTTTCTAACGAGTGAAAATTAGCAGAAAACCGAATCAAGAAGTGTTTTCATGATAACTACCTCCAACCATCAACTTAACATTAAAATATAACATTTGTGAATTTTCCTAGGTCACTTAAAGTTTGGATTTTAATTTAAACTATCTATCTAATTATTCATTATGGCCATAAAGCATTCTCACATTCACTAACTTCAAATCTAAACCCTATTTGCTAGTCTTATTGTTACTGTCTTTGTTCTTCATATATATGCCCTAATTGAATCGCTGACTGACAAACAATTTAACCTGAGGATCAACCAAGGTAATTCTTGACGCCTATTAATCCAGGATGAACACTCTCATCTAGTCTAGTAGTCATTCTCAAGTAAGAATAAAAAAACAGCCAAACCTTGTATTCATATGCTTCAAACACTCATCAATTTATATACATGATTTACTAGACGGATATTTCAGATCATAGGAGGTCACAGTTTATGCGCAACAAACAAAGAATAGAGAATAGTACTATAGGGGAAAATTAATTAAGCAATGGTAAAGTACAACAACAATTAATACATTGGAAGCTTATAATACAGGAAATCCAAAAAAAAAATACAATAATCCATTTACTTAGTAATTTTATACAGTAGAAAATTTATCATAACAATTTTATGTGAAAGAATTCTCCCACATTTGTTCTGGTTTAACACTTATCTCGTTGCTCCCTTAAATTTTTATTTTCTTAGAAGAAATAAATGAATCACTGTAAAATTGTTTATCCATAGTAACGTTATTACTTAATTGTTTTGCAACGGTTATTACTGAAAGGTTTTTATTAACTTGGATCGACTGAAAAGTGATTCGTAGTATTATTAATTTTCTATCATTTAGAAAAGAACAAAATAGGGGGGGAATGTTTTTTCGCAATATCTCTATACTAATATATACATACTGTCATATGCATCTCGATCAAAATGGATAGAATTACCATTAGATTAAATCCTTCAATAAGATACATATATATTGTAGCGGTTCATAGATGGATTGAAGGTATGTTTTGTGCTGTAGGTGAACGTGTGAAGAAATCTGAAATACAAATGATCAAAGGAAAAAGTCAGTCAAATTACTCAGTAAACATACAGAATGGACTTATATTTTAGCAATAAAACAAATCAAACTTAATTATTAGAAACACAAGAGTAATATCTAGACAATCAAGAAATTGAAACTAGCAGTTGGTAGGATAAGATTTGAATTGGGTTACATGTAATTAAAAAGTTAGAATGGATACCGTTATAAATATTCAAAGATATTAAGGAATAAATGAACAAATTGGAATATATATGACAATAGATTGTATCGTATAGTATAAAGCGAACTGTCAAAATTTTGATAAGAAGTCGAATAATAATAATAACAATTAAGTAAATGTAAATAATAGAGGATGTTACAATGAAATTTTGAGAAAATAGATTGGGTAAAGAGATCATGTAATAAGGCGATTATAACTCAATGAAATTTTGGCTTGTTTTTTAATAGCCAAATTACGCATTTCACCTAGACACAAAAATCAGGTTCGCTGAATTGGATACTGTTGTTTGTAGCTATATTCAAAAGTTTTGTAACTAAACTACATGGTGTGGTCGATAGAATCAAGTGAATAATTATAAATACATTGTTTACGTTTACTTGATGCTCCGTACCAATTACATGAAACAGTATAAATGTCTTAATCGATTTCAACTATCCCTTACTTAACGAAATGGATTATGATCTTTGAAGAATTCGGTAATTATGTACTTACCTATTTGTCACAGGAGCAATTGAATTGATAAATGTACGTAAACATAACAAGTTTGTCTTTATTTCCTGTTCTAACGACCGATTATTTGTAGAATATGGTACATTATCTAACTGCATTGGATGATTTTTTCTTTTACGGAGCTTTTCTTATCCGCTGTATTATTAACTCACTGACACTGTCTATCACTTATATATATATTATGTTTTTTTTTTAAAATTTCCTTTACAGACGTGTACATTATTATAATTGATAAGGAATTAATTCATGAAGAACATCGATTATATTTTGTTCAATTATAAAACAGTATTTTTCATCGAAACAACCAACCGAAACACACACACACACATCGTGAGACGTATATACATGTTGATCAATTTGAATGAAACAAAGTTATTCTTTTATAAACTGGTCTGAATTAAATAACTTTTATTTTGCACATTATATCATATCAATTATATATTCATATAAGCGTTGATTAATTTATTCCTCCGAACTTAACTTATCTACTGTGGATTTTTCTTATTTTCATCCACTGATTCATACTTTTATAGTGAATCTCACAATTGGTGGATTTATTTTTGTCGCTTAAACATTTGACTCTATTTGTGTTAAATGTTTAGTCTTTCTTCAGTAATATAACGCCCTGTGTAATTGGTTAATTGTCTCCAATGTGTTTTTTTTTTCATTCAAAGAATTGCTATCCTATGGAAAACAGTCTAATAGTTGTTGTGTTATTTTTATTCTCTGCTATGATCGGTGCTCGTCAATTGTCCAATTAAAGAAAAGAAACCCATTGTGATACATTGTTATTATATACTTTAAATTGTGTATTCATGCTCTGTTTATCTATTCATTACGCATATGTTTGTATCCATACTACTAAATTTGTTGACCTAAACATATACACATCGAGACAATATTATTTTGTATCAAGCACTATTATTTCATTTCATTTGCACAATTAAGACACTTTATTCTATTCTATCTCTATCCAACATGTTTTTGTTGGCTATTTTCTTAATTGACGACTTGTTTATGCACGTTTTGACTTTCGCGTATTTTATTTGACATATTATGTTTAAATCAAGAGAAATTCTGTTGAACAATTACAACAAGCAATTTATTTGTGTTTTTTTCTTTCTTTTTTGCAGTACTTCACATTAAGTACTTTCTTTAGTTATGTGAATAAATGAGACTTTATAAAATGGTTTTATGGTTACGAATACTATGAAAACTATGTTCAGCCCAGTAGCAATGAAGTCTGTATACATACATATACACACATTCTTTGTACTGATTTCTCTGTGTAGTTGAATTTATTCTAACTTTATGTGATAAATGATGCTTGATACTGTTCCGTGTTCAAAGTGTTAACGTTGAGATAATCAGTGCTGAACATATGAAACGGTGATTGTTAATGGATAAATCATAAACTTACTCTGAACTGTTTGCATGCTATCACTTATACTAATGTTGTATATGATGATGAATTCATTGAGAACTTGGTTTTGTGTTTCGAGCAATTGTACATCTTGATAATTTCCACAGCATCATTGCTTTCTTTTATTTTTCAAACAAGTAATACTTATTGTGAAAGAAATATATGCTTTCTGTTTATTCATCGTTTTATATTTTCAATATAGATGGATTTATATGAATGTGTTTGAGTCTCTGTGTGTGTGCTTATCCAACGAACCATTGTGAAATCAATAGATTAAGTTACCGTCAACAATCTTTTATACGTTACTTGATTAGAATAAGGAAATACATGGCAAATGATATCTACGTATGCTTTGGTAGTTTTTAGGCTAGATCCAATAAAATGTGAATTTTGTTTCTAACTGCGTGTCTAGACACTAAAGAAACTCATGAGAACGACCAACTTTTTCTAAAGCATTAACAAATATGAATCAGAATAAAAAATCCTTGACAATCATTTCATTGTTCTGTATCAAATTCTTCAATAAAGATGTACTTCTTAATCAAGCAAAATATATTTTGGTTAATAAGAGATAATAATTCAAATATTAACCTTTTAAATAGGTAATGATGGATTTATATCAATCATTCTTACCCCTTAATCTCTATCTATTTATTCTGTCGTAAAATGTAGTAGAAACAATCAAAAGCTTTTAACTACAAATTATTGATATGCTAATGAATTTCCCTATTCACACTTGTTTAGATTATTTTGTCGGAATATAATTACTAATTTTGCTTCCAAACCTCTAGTATTTGCTTGCTAAGAAAAGGTAAAATTTTCGCTATCACATAATTGTCAGAGTTTATGTAAAACATTATGAAATCCAAAAGATGTTGAGCCTATATTCATGAAAGTCTCCAATGAGAAAAGCAAAAATGTGTTGATTTCTTTGAAAGAACATTTCTAAACTCAGTTAAACTAGCATTCGTTTTTCTCTATCCACTCTCAGACAACGACTACTTTAGTCGATTTGTAGAACTAAAATTAGGTAATACATCGGATTTCAAAGGTTTACGTCAGAAATATTGATTGGATTCAGTGATTATTAATTGGTCTGGTTGAGAGGTCATTTTTCGTTTGTAATTAATACATGATACACGTTTACTGGTTTTGATTGAAGGTCTTTATGCGTTTTGAAAGTGATTTGATTTTATCTTTGATTATTTCACCATCTTCAAATGTGAAGTTTACATATCTGATTATTCGAAATTGTATTATCATATCTTTCTAGTATAATTTTTTTTATTGATTTGCAGTTATTTATACTAGCGTCTATGTTCCTCTTTTGTGTTAGCGTTTATTTCGATTTTATTTTGGGAATTTTAGGCATCATCAAGTAAACTCTCTCAATCAAGTCAAAGAACTTTGACTTCATTTTTTCTCGAACATCTACAACACCAACTCAAGGGGAATTGAAGCGGAAACTTAGTTCGTCAGAATGTGAGGGAGGAGGTTCTGATCCACCTTCTAAACTTCTGTTCAGTGATGAAAATAAATCGCCTACTACTGGACAATATCACCGTCAACTAGTTAGTGATTCAATATTATGCATATACTGTCTTCATATATTGTTTATTGTCGTAAAAATTTGTGTAATTGTTCTTGCTACATGTTAAACTGTATCATACCAATTGAAAAAATGTATTTTCATTCAAGCTTCTAATGTCACATTCTGATGTCGGCTTACTTACACAGGTATTGATAAACAAACTTTTTAAGATAACAGTTTATATTTTACTTGATTAGTGTTAACAAAAGTAGAATATACTACTTAAGAATTTTCAATTACCTAACAATTATTCCTTGTCAAATTATTGTCAATTAAATTGAGATCATTTGTACTGTTTGCCGTTCATTTTGGTCAAGTTGAATATTGATTAACTTTGATTCGGTTAGTTGTGTTTAGAAATTAAGGGAAATTAAGAAGTGATTAGCGTTTATCGTTGGTGGACGTTGTTATAAACCCTGAATAAGTAATGTACTCTTCAAATCAAAATATGGTATCAGTCCATGAAGTCATTGACTGTTGAACTATAAATTGTACAGTTGACGTGCTTACAATTATTATACGTAATCAGAGTTTAGAGATCTTATGTAACATGGTCCACAATCGTTTACAATGGTGTAGATCCATTCACACATTGTCCTTTATTAGATCTTAAGTTTTAAGTAATCTTATACTGTTTATTCAGTGATTACTTTCTTTCACAAATCTGCTATTTCTACTACTCTAACGCTTGTCTTGTGCACTTCATTGTTCTGTGTTAATATGGTGTGACAACGTAAACCGATTTACGTATGTGCCAGATTCTACGTTGATTATAATTGACCGATTCCTTTTATAGCTTCAATAATGTTAAGAATGTCGCCTTTTTCTACACTAATTAAGATACAAATATAATTTTTTGTAGAAATTGTTTTAATGTAGAGTTATGATTATCTTTTATTTGAAAAATAAATAAAGCATAAAGAAAACATTCATCTAGTATGTCGCTATTCATCATTCAACTATTATCAATCTATGATGAAAACACAATTTTCACATTATTTTGTGATTATTCAGAAAGGATAGAATAAATTTCATTCTTATTTTTGATCAGTTAAACGAACTATCAAGTAAATTCACTTGGTATTGTTTGGCTTGTATCTTCCCATTGAGGTATAAGACTGCAATTGATCAGTCTGTTATTAGCATATTTGCATACTGTGCGTATGCCTTGATATTACCTTAATTCACAAGCTATTTGTAAGCAATAATTCCATACTAGCCACTATCCATCATTGCTTACGAACTACTAAGTACTTTCAAACTATTCAATGAATTCTTTATGAAAATGTCTATGTTGACTTTGTACTCTTTTCCTTCATACATCAATGATTCTTTTCCTTATAGCAAATACACCGAATATGAAACCTTTATCACCAATGAATAATCATTCATTCAGTTTAATTGGCAATACAAAACATTTATTCAAATCTACAGAATTAGATAAATCAGCTATAAATAAAATGTTAGCTGAATGTCGACGAAGATTAACTAATCGATCCAATAAAAATGTATTAAATTTAATTCAAGGTATATCAAATGAATGGTTTGCTATATTATTGGAACAAATTGAACATGATAAATTTCAACAATTAGCTGATTTTATTGCTAAAGAACAAAATAGTGGAGTAACAATTTATCCACCTATTGAACAAGTATGTTGCGATTGTTTTTTTCCAAAGAATATTGTGCATAAAATTACATTATATCTAAATCTTTGTGTAGATCAACATTTATTTATTTATTTGAACACATAAATACTGATACAAAGGGGCACCGAATAAATATGCACCATACAAGTCACTTGATTTGTGTGTAGGAAATGATACTGCCTGGGTGCTCAAACCGAAGCAGGTGGTTTTCTTAAGAAGCCATACCCGAAGCCTTCAACCTAAAGGTCTAATCCACAAGGCAGTGGAGCAACATCAGGAGATTCAGTCCCATGGTAGCCGGTGACCAATAGTTGGTTCATACACCATTTGTTCCTTCAGGATACTAGAGTCCATGTGCACCATTGGTTTGGAATCAGGGTTTTCCAACGTCGTTGGGTAGAATCTAAATTTCTGGGTGATTTCTCACCCTGTTTAATGGATGTTATATACGGAGATTTTACCCTCAATTTCGCTTTGTTTTATAATTTCATTTACGATAAAACATTATAAGCACATATTTTGATAATTTCTCTTATTGATCGCCTCCCACTGAACTAAAGTATGATTCATTGGATCACAGTACTCTTGTAGCTTATACCTCTGTTTTTATGATTATAGGAAGAACCTTGTTTAACAAATACGTGACCTGAGGTTATTAAAGTACTCTCAACTTGTAGTCTTACTTTCATTCCATCTCTGTTACTATCGTTCAATACATCCCCAGGATTGTTCAAAGGTCAGAACCTCCAACTATCTTACCGTTTCACTTCTTTGTCAGACCTAGTCGGTTTTTTCTAGAACCTTGAGCACAGAGGACTTTCCACAGTTATGTTTATCAGCATTCATCCGGACAAGGAATCGAAAGTTGGAAAACACTAGACCTCATTTGTTCGTTATCTTCATCAATAAGGGAAAGTTACGGTTTTTTAGTGTCCAATTTACTAGAATAACGCACCTGATTTCGGTTTAGTCCAAAATGCTGTCTTGGCTTCTCACAAATATTTATATGTGAAAATATGTAAAATAATAGATAATATTATAATCAATGATGATTAACTTAATTCACTTTCAAGGTGATAAACACAAACAACAACAACAGTCCATTCTCAACTTTACATTCAAAATAAGGTGTCCAGACAAAATATGCAATAACCAATAGAGAACTGTTAGTCTGTCAAGAGTTAATATAATTAACAAATTACAAGATAATAGAATCAATACGAATTACTTGTAAGTAATATAGTTGCAATACAATAAATTCATACTTGCCGCATATTCTTAACAGTACTGTCTAAAGCAATTAAGCCTTTCAAAAAGAGCTACTTTATTTACTATGCCTTCTTAAAAGTTCACAATTTTCATGAGAGATTTTAAAAAAGTTTCGTGATAGTCCTTAATAGCTCAAGTTATGTACATATTTGACACACCATTTATACCAAAGGAATGTATGTAACATATGTCCAGTGTTCCCAGATTTTCAATGATGGTCTAAATTAGATCGGTTCATAGTTTCAATGATTTTCATTTCGTTAATTTTTGCATTTAACTATATGATATACAGACTAATCAATTCTTGGAAAAATCAATTTATTTTGAATACACCATTTTTGTTTTCATCTGAGTTACATTTTTTTTTTAATTAGAACTCTGTGCGACAATTATGAACAATAATTCTTCTTTCACTAAATCACTATTGAATATGAATTGTAGTCCACATCTACTAAAATGGTACAGTTTAGTAGTCAATGATATCATGAACACATGGTCTGTGTCATAGTTTATCCACCCCTAGGTTTCTTTCAACTTATTTCTACACCAATTGTTAACTATGTACTAAGCTGAAACATATTCTTACATGGATTACTTACAAGTGTGTTCATTAAAATTGCCGTTTGTATTTTTTTAAGATACACTAACCAATTAAATTATTGATTTGATCTTGTTCAGATTTTCACATGGACTAAATTATGCTTACCAACAGATATACATGTTGTAATCTTAGGACAAGATCCATATCATGGACCAAGACAAGCACATGGTTTAGCATTTTCTGTATGTCGACCAGTACCAGCACCGCCAAGTCTTATCAACATGTACAAAGAAATTAGTTCAAGTATGAATTTGGCAAATTCTAATGATAATTGGCCACCAAAACATGGTGATTTAACTGGATGGGCTAAACAAGGTGTATTACTGTTGAATGCTGTACTGACTGTTCGCTCTTCAACACCTAATTCGCACAAAGATAAAGGATGGGAATTTCTAACAGATGCTGCTATTCGTTATTTAAATAAAAATCGAAATGTAAGATCATGTATATTAACTACTTTTTTAAAGTATTTGTACACTGTAGGATTGAATCATTGCCCAAGAGTAAACAACTGTTCACTACTCGTTGATTTTCTACTACTGATGTCTACAGATATAAGTAGTATGTATCATTAAACGAAAGTGAAACGCCTGGTGGCAGAAGGTTAAGAAGATCGAAGGAAAGAGAACGTGAGCAGAGAATGACTGGTGTGAGAATGAACGAACAATCAAATCTGAGACAATTGTTTGACATTTTGCAACTGATTCTCAGATTTTGCTAAGATATTCTGTAATTTTGTGTTCAAATACATTTGGTGTCACTGCCAGGACATTCTACTCGACGTAACTTTCCCGCAACAGACTGCCCCAAATAGCACCTCATCTCTAGGCCCTGCAACGGCGTCCGTAGAACAACACCCTTTCGCCTCCTGGTTGGCAGCGACACTAAATGTAGTGAACGAGAACACAAACGGGGACAACCGCCCCATTGTACCAGTAAGAAGAGGCAATATTCATCAAATTAAAATGATCTATTCATATACCTCCCAATGTTTTATTTCTATACTTATTTCCATACTATTTTGAACAAAATGATAATTTGTTTTTAATTTTTTATTCTTTTCATAATATTATTTATAGAATTTAGTTTTTATGCTTTGGGGTGCAAGTGCTCAAAAACAAGGCCAATCAGTTGATCGTAAACGTCATTTAGTACTTAATGCACCGCATCCATCACCTTTATCAGCTAGTCGTGGATTTTTTGGTTGTGGACACTTTGAAAAAGCAAATGAATACTTAAAACAACATGGCATTAAACCAATTGATTGGACTAAATTAGATTAATTTTCTTTTTCCTTTTTAGAACTATTTTTTTTATAATCCCTCCTTTTATCACTTTTTCACATAATTCATCCATTGATTCATTGCATTTTATTATTACTGAAAGATTTTTATATTGTCGCATTTAAAGTTTCTAGGTATGTCATAAATAAATTATTTCTTTTCAATTGTTTCTAGTGATCACATCAATATTTGTGTAAAGCTACTGGTCATTTTTATGGTGTTAGTTTGGGCGGGGGGTGTAAATACTGTTGAATTTTTATAGTTTATACTATGGATTATTTAGAAAACCATTAAATGTCAGAAAACAAAGGACAGTTGCTTCATCCTAGTATAGGGCTCTGTAGAAGTACACACCTATGACCTAGCTACCGGAAATCGAACCTAGGTCCTTTAAATTTGAAGGCAGGTAATTAACTTGATATATGTACTCTAACTCTTAGTAAGGTTCAAAAAGCTATAAGAAATGCAAAACGATGGAGGACATCAGGACTTGATAGACTAGTCCCTGAGATTTTTAAGGATGGTGGGCCAGCTTCAGCAGTTAGATTTACTGAAATCTTGGCTAAAATCTGGGATTTGGACATAATCCCACCTGACTGGTCTCGATCGCTGATCGTTTCAGATTATGAGGAAGGACAAAAATCATCCAGTGAGAGTTACAGAGGAATCAGTTTAACTGATAGTGTCTAAAACATCGACCTCAATAATACTTCGACATCCGGCTAGAGCTCGTGAAGAGCAAACTCTACAAAACCAGGATAGTTTTTTTTTTACCTAGACGTGTATGTATAGACCAAACATTCACGCTTCGGCAGATTCTGAAGCTTATGCATACATATAAACATATTTTCTGACGTCCGGCTATAGTTTACATTAAGGCGGCATTCAACTCTGTTGATCGTGAGGTTCTGTGTTAGTGTCTGTCACTGGAAGACGTACCTAATAAGAATATCAATTTTGTGCAGGCTCTTTACTTTAACACTACTTTGCGAGTCCGAGCTTGTGGGGAAGTCACTAGGATTGGTAGCTTGGATCGGTCTTCACATCAGTGTCATCCGCTTTCCTCATAGACGTCCTTTCAGCGACAACGCTCTCATTGTCGCATTTTCCGGGAATCGATCTAACAAGATACTAGCTTGTAAACTTATAATACCCTAATGCTTAAGAACTGGGACACGTTAGGGACTGAAATAATGATAAGGACTGGAGTAGTTAGGCGTATCGACTACTTCACTTACCTTGAGAATCTCACCAGCCTGAATGGCCTGGTATTTGAAGTAATATCGGCATGGATTTAGAATGCTCGGCTAGCCTTGTGGTATAGCCGCAATATCCGTCCGCCAACCAAAGGACGAGTTTTATGCTCGGTGGCGCGCTGTTTTAATTTATGGGTATGGGACACAGTTACGAAGATTGGATGATAATCGTAGGCTACTGGGATTCGATCATAGGTGTCACTGACACCCTAGGTAGGGGTCGTTTTAGGTGAAAACAGCAAATCGACTGGTGATGAAGTAAATTAACTGAGGTGGTTGGGACATGTGTTACGTATGACTAACCACTACTTAACTCGATGGACAATGAAAGAAAGCAAGGGGTGTTCAAACCAGGGCATAGTACCAGTCTCTGAATTCACTGACAGTTGGACTGAGCCGTGTTAAGGGGTGCAGACTATCTTGTTAGGATCCTTGGGATTATCGTAACCAATCGTTAGACACCTAGAATGGTATCCCTCCAAATCGTTTATAATAATGGAGGTGAATATACTCATTATCTTCTCTTAGAATCTAAGTTTCTAAACCCGTCATACTTTTTTTTGTTTTAATAATCTATATTTTCTCCTCGAACAGTATCTTCGATGCCAAATCTTTTCTATTACCACTAATACTTTTACTACTTCTACTACTCAGAAATTTGACCTGACAGTCTCATTTCGCTGTGGTAATGGGATATGTCAACTTCAACTGATGTAAATTTCTAGCTCTAATCAATGTCAAGAAATGCTATGAATTGATGAGTTACTGAGTAAACAGTTTATTTACTGTAGTTTTCAGATTTTCTGCCGTTAAATTATAAGCACTTAGTTATAAATACCATATTTAAGGAATTTGGGCAACTGATCATTTAACTGAATTTTTCCAAATGATAGTTGGACTAAAGCTTTTTATGTACAATCATAATATGAAATTCTGTGCTCAGGAAAAACTATGTACTTTGTTTTTTAAGCAAGTGGAAGTCATCCTATTTAGGTCTTTAATGACCATTAGACATATTTAGTCAACCGTCTCCAAAAACAAATAATAGGTTCTTGACTTTGCTGTAGACCTATATGTAACTGGGATAAACTTGTCGGCCAGAAAAGGTTCGGTAAGTCTTCAATACCAAGTCATTACTTGAAATGTCTTCATGACGTTCAAAGGTGTGAAATCCCCACTACTGGAAGAGGCGAATAATTGATTTACATGACTGGAGATAGATTTCACTGAGAAGTTTATACGATCATGTGAAGTCATAATTGAAAGAGTATAAACTCTAAGAAATGAGTAGATATCTGTTTAGTATGTTACTTCACGTAGATGTTGTGCACGACTATTTAAAACTACATATTACTGAAAATAGGTGTGTAATGTTTCATAAACCACTGTTCATTATATCACAAAAAGTATGCATAAATTATCCCGATTCAATCAAACCTATTACCGAATTGTACAGTGAATGGTTATTCTCAAATATTCTAGTATTTATTGTTAATCATAAAATTGAGAAGCTGGAAGTGGATAGGACACACATTGAGGAAAGCACCCAACTGCGTCACAAGACAAGCTCTCACATGCAATCCTCAACGCCAAAGGAAAAGAGGAAGACCAAAGAACATATTACGCCGGGAAATGGAAATAGACATGAGCAAAATGAACAAGAATTGGATGGAACTAGAAAAGAAGGCCCAAGACAGAGTGGGTTGGAGAATGCTGGTCGGCGGCCTATGCTCTATCAGAAGTAACAGGCGTAAGTAAGTATGAAAGTGAGAAATCGTCGGATAGAAAATATTAAAAGGAGATCAGTTGTAATAATTTTGAGTGCAATACTACTTGCAATATTTAAAGTTTGTTAATATAGTATAACAATTTCTTACCATTTATCATAGCTAAAACTTTGAAAAGAATTCATAAAATCTGCTAAAAATCGTGGACGTGCACTGCTAAGGAGTCCCATACTAAGACGAAACGATCGTCTAGTGCTTCTAGGTTTTTCCAAGATGGTCTAGCTTCAATTGACTCATGAAGTCAATTATTAAATTACTATTACATTTCATATTATTAAGTGAAACTTCTATCCACTTTTCGATGTAGACTCAATATGTAAATAGAATCATAATCACTGTTTTTAATGCACTGTAGACAGTAACTACTGACGTACACATATAACGTGATATTGACTAATCACACTTTCTAAAATGAAAGAATTTTTTATATTATTTTATTAAACAAATTTAATAATATGATCATTATAGAGTTGTGGAAATTGCTAAATTTTTGATTCAAATCATGTATCGAATAATATTAGGTCACCATTGAAAACCTAGAAACACTGAGTGGCTGTTTCATCCTATTATGCAACTCCTCAGCAGTACACATCTATGATTACACTCGCGGGATTCGAACTCAAGACCTTCGATTAATCGGTTCACAATTTCAATGAAATTCAACAATCTTCAATGAGCCCAAATTAGTCATGGATGCGCACTGCTGAGGAGTCCCACAATAAGACGAAGCGGCTATCCAGTTCTTCCTGGTGGTCTAGCTTCAACTGACTCATGATATCAACCATTTAAATTACTATAATATCCACAAAACCACTTCTGATATTATTCAACATATGCTCACTAGTGAGTGGCTTCAAGAGGTATATCCTGGGTTCTAGTGAGAAGCAGTGACCAGTGGATTTCAACCGGGTCTGTTGTGAGATATCAGCTCACTGATAACAAGAGTGAATGTTTATCAGTTTCGTGGATTAGTTGAAGTTAGACATTAACACCGTTGGATACATGACGGCTTAGTGGTCTAGTGGTTAAGCGCTCGAGAGCGAGACAGATAGGTCCTGAGTTCGAATCTCGCGGGGGAGGGGCGGGATCGTGATTTCGCACCGCTGAGGAGTCCCACAATAAGACGAAATGGCTGTTCAGCGCTTACAGGTTTTCCATGGTGGTCTAGCTTCAACTAATTCATGATCTCAACCACTGAAATTTTGTTTAATTTAACAAGTATTTACTATTATTGTTTACATATCATCTATAAATATGGTTTATTTCAAAAGGTATTGGTTCAATATTGATTAATTAACAATAGCCATTGTTTGTTTTTTTAAAACACAGATTTATACCTCGAAAAGAAAAGAAGAAATAAGACAGTTCGCTAAACGAGAAAATTATTTTATTTTAAGAATAAAAAGACAGCCCCATATCATCACATATCTGTCCTAACGACATGAATTGTTACTATCTAGATTATTAAGTTGATTATGCCACTCAAAAAAAAAACAGCCTGATATGAATTCTGTAATTATTATTATTAGAAATATAATATAATTATTACATTATTGTATCTAATTTAATGATGTATAATACAAGTTCACAAACGCATTATCTCTATCTCTATTTATGTCTCTGTCTCTCTCTCTCTCTGTCTATCTCTCTTTGTTTCCATTATATGAGTGCACAAATAAATAAATAAATATTTCACTGGCTGAAATCATGAGTCAATTGAAGCTAGACCACCATGAAAAACCTGGGAGCACTGGACGACCGTTTCGTCCTAGTATGAAACTCCTCAGCAGTGCGCATCCACGATCCCGCCCCCTGCGAGATCCGAACCCAGGACCTGTTAGTCTCGCGCCAAGCGCTTAACCAACCAGTTCACTGAGATGGCCGGCATCCAACGGTGTTAATGTCTAACTTCAACCAATCCACGAAGTTGCGCCACCGTACACCATTGTCTTCAGTG